GAGTTTGAGGCTGCAGTGAGCCATGATCACACCACAGGACTCCAGTCTGGGTGACAGTGCAAGATCCTGTCTCAAAACAAAGCAAAACAAAACTCTATTCCTGAAACATGTTCATTCTAGTCTAAGGAAAGAAGTGACATACCTCGAGTTTTCTCTTTGAGATGGAACAAAATGCAAGGGCTTCCCTCTGACATGTGGAATACAAGCATTGAAGCCAGTTAGGATTTAGGAGCCCTCCCACCTCCACTTGTTTTCTGCATGGAAACCTATAGGTGCAAGAACGTTAAACTGCTGTTCATGATAACTAGTATACACAGCTCCATGGAATTAGGTCAAGATCAGCACGATCCTCTGGGCCAGTTACATTGATCCTGGGAAGCCAGCCAACCACCCCCTAAACCTGACATACTAACAAGAGCAATCTCATAACAAGGGTGTAGGACAATCAGTGTGAGCCGAGCCCACTGGAATCGGAGCTCAGGCCCGTACTTCACCCATGGCACACAGTGGCAATGAAGATGAAGCGCATCAGCGTGCCTGAAATACTCAAGGCTGGAGGGACATTTTACGGCATCACAATAAAGAATTCCACTCGTCCTTCCTAGCTCTTCACTGTACTACTACTTCTCCTTTTAAGATTTCCTTAGGGATTTCGTAAAGCAAACAAAGGCTTTATTCTTCAACACTAGCTGTTCTGGAAGCCCCTCCCACGTGAGGTTGCTGTGCTGTGTCTGGCATGTGTGAGCCCCATCAGCACATGTACGGGAACTGCCCCAAGGGACTGTGTGTTCAGAATGAGAGCCAGGTACAGCACAGCAGGACATGCAGGGCCCCAGGGTTTCTGATAAGCACCTCCACTTAATCCACAGACACACAGAAAGAGGGAACAAAGGGTCTGGTGATATTTTCTGAATATTCTCCAGAAACCCACACATGTCTAGGGTCACATGCACCCTAATTTCAGCTGTGTTCCAATTACAAACAGAACTCCGAATGACTCAGTGGCAGCAGCCAATGCAATGCATGACAGGCAAAAAGGACTAAATTGGAGGGCGAGGCTTCAGCAAGAGGGCTTATTTATTATGGCAACCCTGCTGTGAATCTCCTGTGACAGCTTTGGAAGTCATGGTCATTGTCCTCTTGATCTAGAGAAACAAATTTCTGACGCCTCCTGTTCTCTCCTGCCGGCCCCAGGGGTCTGTTCTTAACGCTCAGATCTGGCTGCTACCTTTGGTCTCCCCATCCATGGCTCTCTCCGTCATCACTTTGGAATGTGCTTTACTGCTGCCTGACGTAAGCGTGGCCTGCTCACTGAGCTGTGCGGTGGACCGTGAGATGTCTACCTGATCACGATTGTTCTGGAATGCTCTCCAGTGATGTGGATGTGTCCCCACTTAGAGGCCACCAGGCAAGATGACCTCTAGTCTCATCCCTGCTCTAGGAGGCCACAGGCACGTACACGAGGACACTGTCAGACAAGACCTGGTACATGATAACTACATGGTGTGAAAACTGTAAATGAGAGAGAAATGGGGAAGGAGCAGGCTTATTATTCAGCACCCTTCACCTCTGAGAATAAGGGGACATTAATCTACCACTTTCTGCATTCTAAAGCAGAGGAGGATATTTTTCTGTGTATTACTGACTTAATTAGCAGTAACTAGGGAGGCAGGATGAGAGGAAGCTGGGAGACGGAGGAAAATCTAGAATAGATTAAGAAAATATGAACTGTCTTAATTGACATAAATGCGTCCATGTAATTATCTCCAGACACTGTGGCTACTAATAAGACATTTGATTCCTAAGGGATCTGCTGAGTCTGACACTCCACCACTTCAGTTCTAACCCCATCAGTCTCCCCTAGCCTTACATCCTGAGAAGGGAACACAAAGGCCCTGTGTGATCTTTCTCTTGTTAACATCAACTACCAAGAGTGCACAAAGCTTGTTAAGCTAAGTGGTTCTTCTTTTGTGGGAGGTGATTACAATTATTAAATAATCAACAGACGGGTACAGAGAGCCCTGTTTGCACGGAGATGCTAAATAGGGCTGTGGAGCTGTTCCTTGGAGCAGGGAAAGGATTGGACACAGGAGGAAGAGCTGAGGGGTGAGGGAGGTGAGAAAGGAGACCGTGTCCCGGAGGCATAGGGCTCCTCTGTCCAGCCCTGAGGTCCCAGCTCCTACAGATCTCCCTTTGATTCTGTGATTACCCCCATATCTAAGATACACAGTTCCATAAATTCCTTTATCTACTTAGGAAAAAAAAAAGTCAAAATCATACCAACTGTGAAGGAGCTGCTGATCTCAGAGACAGGAAGGGGGGCAGCTAAAATCTGAAACGAATGATTATAATTCAATTTTTAGAAATGTTTTAAAAAAATTTAGAAGTTTTAAAAAAATTAAATAAGCAAGAATGTTCAAGGCACAGGCTGTTAGAATCAAACTTGAAGGATTTAAAGGAGAAATCAAGATGCCCGTAGGCAATTCCTGATTATACCCCTGGGTGAGTGGGTGGGAGACAAAATAGATGACGATCAAGAATCCAAAAGCCTAATTTTAACCAACAGTCTCATCCTCTGACAAAACTGGCCACACCAATAAGCAGCAAAATGAACAGAGCATTGCTCCTTTTCATGGTGAAACAGTGGGGAAAAAGAATGATGAGCCACAGAGAAGGAAAAGGAGGGTCTGTCTGGTTCATCCACAGGAGAGTAGCAACTAACAGCAAAGGGGACAGGAGTCTCAGCTAAAATCCATCTCTCTTCTTTGCATTCTCTATACACTTTGGAAGGTGGCACTTTTGACATCAGGGATCTCTCTTTCCACCTTGAGAACCCGCTGACTCAGCCATTGGTTTATAGGAGCTCTAGCGGTAAGTTCCCAGGAGGAAACAAGTCATATGGACAGAACCAGAGGGTCTATTCCCTTGGACCAGCCAGCTACAGCAGTTAAGTCTAACTTCCAGAATCTCCAGGGCCACAGGGCCAAAGCCTCCACTTAAAGGCTGTTTCCCTTACACTCTCTTTTCTGTAGTCCTATAGCAATGACTCTGTGGTCCTTCATCACCAGGATGCAGGCCTCTCATGGGTGGGGAGGCATGCCTCATGTGTTAGTCACCCATCCTCATGGCCTAGGTACTTGAAAACTCCCTTGACAAGAGAACGCATATTCAAGAATTGTAAACAAAATGGGGGAATATCAGAAGACAGTGAAAAGCCATCAGGTATGACAAAGAAAATCGCCAAGTTGATAAGCTAAGGCAATAGACAAATAGAATTTTATTTGCATTAATATGAATTAATTAGGACAAAAGAGAGCTCTGTCTGGTCCTGGTCTCTTCTCAGAGTGTAGGTTAGTCTGTCGCAATCTGATTTCCTGGAAGCAAAAAACTGGGAGTGGCAGTGTTCCCCAGGAGATGTTTGAAAAGTCGCTGGGCATTTTTGGTTGTCTCAATGACTGCAAGGCTTTTGGTGGAGAGGGGCAAGGGATAATAAGCACAATGCGATCGGCAGGACCTGCCCAAAACACCAGCAGAGCCCTGTTGAGGAAGAGTGAATTGTTCTCCTTCACATTCATTACAAAGCAGAGTTCTCACTTGGTCTATGGGGGCATTAGAAGTAATGCCAAAAATATGCCCCCTTTCCTCTGGGACCCAGAGAAATGCATCCCAGGGCAGGGAATATTCCTTTAGAGTATTCCACCCCTATGACCCCCTTACCCTTGCCCACCATCTGGCATCACCTGGAGAGTGAGGAGGAGCCTCCTGTGCCCCTGGCCACAGACAGGCAAGATGTAGCCATCAATTCCAAGCTTCCTCCCCTGACACTCGTGAAATCCAGAAGAAAAAGAATGGGAGGTGGGGCACATTAGAATCACTCTGTTCTCAGGCGGGGGTGACTAGCTCTCCACATGATCTCTACGGTACATGACAGAGGGGTGGGTCGGGGCAGTTTCTCTCCCTGTGAATGTGAATGTACCCATCATTCAGGTGCAAGGTCAGGTGTTAGACTTTTGGTCTGGATACAGCAAGCCCCTTAGGACGCTCAGAGCACAGAACTGGGGCAGACCTCCAGTTGCTCCGAGTAGGTTGCCTGTGATCCAAGAGACCGAGATGGGATGGGAAATGTCATGACAACACTCAGCTATGGCAACACTTGGCTTTAAAATTCCCTCTAAGACACTGACTTCCAAAGGAAAGGACTGCAACCCAAACCAACTAAACCTCAGGGCTGAACTAAACTTATGTCAAACTCGTTTGTACTTCTGGCTGTGAGGTGGATCCATGGCTTCCTGTGTATATTCAAATCTCCATGGTAACTTGTCCATCTTTTCTAGGCAGCATCCTTTCCGTGGAAATTACCGGATTGGTGGGGGCAAACAAGCTGGGGATGGGGGGTGCGGAATCTGGGTTAAAAGCAAAGCCGGACACATACGTGGGGATGGGAGGCAGATGGCGTAGTCAGGCTGGAGGCTGCTGGCTTGCCGGCCCCTCACTCATCCATGGAAGGGCTACATGTGGGGCTGAGATGGGAGGTGAGGACAGGCTGAGCATCTGGAGGAGCAGATGGCCGGAGGAATGGTTGCTGGAGACTGTGACAAAGGCTTG